CGCCTACTGTGAGGCGCTGGAAAAAAAATTAACTAAAATCAGGCTGTATGAAATATTTCGCCTTTCAGTATATCACAGGGGTTGGAAAGTGTAAACAAGACAAAAATCGATTCCTTGGTGCCCTCAAATCAATCCCCCAAAATGGTTAGGGCATCTGTTTCTGCTAAATTTTGTTTACATCGGCAGATTTGCCTTAATTGCACTTGTTTATCTCCCATTGTCCCTGGGGCCCTAATCTCCCGATTACTAATACTTAACACTCATTTCACATCTAAAGCTCCTTCTAATCCTCAACAGGTTTTGGGGCCTCTTAAAATTATTGAAGCCACAGAGGCGGGAGACACAGCCTCTTTGTGAAAGGGACATTTTCTTATCTACTACCAGCTGGGCCCAATCATCACCAGGGATGGTGACAACAAAGGTGCTAAAAGGCTCTTCCACAATGACTGCTGCTCCACTGGGGATTCAGAGGATAAAAAAGAGCTTTGATGGAAAAATCCGAACAAGAGGCGAGAGCGGTCCAGCCGGATAAAGTTACTGTCATGATCAAATGCTGTCGATCACCATGAAAATCCAATTAAAAATGTTTCAGCTCGGCCCTCTTAAGTGGAAAAATGTACCCTATTTACACAAATTTTTGCCAACTCCACACCAGTCCCACAATTAGAAAGTCCTGCTATTAATTGAATCCCCCTCCGTGCCCCCCCCCAAGTTTAAAAAGACACGCAGGCCATCCAGAAGCCTTCTGAGGGAGGTGAGACACACGTAGGCTATTGGTATACAATTAAGAGTTAATCGGGTTACACTGGAAAATTCCATTTTTATTTGTGCCCAGGGAACTTCTGCCCGAATAAACGAATGCTACCTAGCTTCCTACTTCAGAGTCAGTGACCATTTACACAGAGAACTGAGAAACGGTAAACCAGGATACTGGAAAGAAACTAGTCCATGCTCCAGCAAATGTCTCTCGGTAGACCAAGACCTAATGTTTAATTCTAATCTTGAAAATTAAATAGAGGACAGAAGGCCCAAATGTCTCTACTGCCTTTAGGCAGTCTCTAAATGGCCAGGCGAACCTCAAATTATCTGCAGATAGATCTGGCCCCCCAAATAACTGTGTATCTACCAAAGGCCTCGCTGAAACCATAAGACTCCTGATCCCCAAAGGTCTTTCTCCAAACTGCTACAAATTAAAAAGCAAACAACCCATTAAACAAATCCAGCTGGTTTCAACTGTAAATAGGAGGCTTCTAATATTTTTCCAGCCCTTGAAATTCCTGGTTAGACTCATTAATTATTGATAAGAATTGCATCTTTTTATTGGAGTGTACTCCCAGGAAAACAAGGTTGCTGTCTTCAATGGCAATTCCCAAATCATAGAGACTAGGCTTCAGATCTTTCTGTATTTCCCCCACAAACGGCTAAATATCTTCTGGTCTTTTTCAACCTAATCCATTATTCCCGAGAGCTAGGGGCTGGGGTGGTGTGCATCTGATATGCTGGTAGATAAAGACCGTGGGGTCCCCCTGCTATCAATCTAACCAAACGAAGACGGTGCTGGCCAGGTGGTCTCCTCTAGGTCTTGGCTCTCTGATGACCTCTTGTTTCGGAATTAACTGTCAGAGGCAAATTCTCAAGGGGTCAGGACACATGCTGAAGGTGACAGGTGCTGAACACTGCCTTGCTCTTCCCACATGTCCCATCCCGAGGTGGGATGGCCAGAGCCCTGGGGTCTGCTCTGACTGGTCAAGCCCATGCTGTACTGGTTGTTACACGTCTTGAATGTTATCCCTGCAGACACAGCAACAGCCTCAAAATGCCTTTATTTTGGCACCAAATTATTTTACCCAGATGACCTCTGGGTTAAGTCAAACAAAAGCCCTTAATCGGACCATGTCTTCTAGTGTGGTCAGCCTAACTTATATTGTACATTACAATGTCCCGAGATGGCTTGTTCCTGGGTGAGTTTCCTTGGCTTTACTGTGTGAGTTCTTGGAGAATAAGAACTGTTCTGTTTGTCTGTTCGATGTCCAGGACAGTGTTTCATTGAGCGGGATGCAAGAGACGGGCACACGCCAAGAGTAGGTGATAGTGAGTTATCTTCCTGTAATCAGAGCAGAGACTCGCCTGAACGGCAGTCGCACACAACCATGCTAGGCACTGAATCAGAAGAGCATGACCCTCCTTCAAGGCGCTTAAAATCTAGTTGGAGAAAAAAGGCATTAAACTAGTGAGTTTTACCTCCAGCTTCTCCTTATAATCTACCTGGAGAGCTTTAAAAAACAAAATAGTACCTGTTCCCTGGCCCAAGCACCAAGAATTCTTTCATCTGGGCTGGGATCCAGGCTTTTTTTTTTTTTTTTTTTTTTTGGCCTCTTATTTTTAACCTACTTGGATGATTCTGATGAGTTGCCAGCATTAGGAACCACTGTACTACATGGACCGACTTGTGACTAGATGACGGATACGTAATTCTGTGTAGTTAAGTACCGTTCCAAGTCAGAGACAGTAAATTCTGGAGTGCCTCGGAGAAGGGGGCAAGCACTGTGATAGGGAGGAGGATGGAGACCTCCAAGGACGGGGTTGGGGGGTGTTCCAAACTGAGACCGCTCCCCAAATCAAAGAAACTACCAATGGGCTGAGTGGTGTCAAGTGAGGAAGTAGTGTGCAACACACGCCCAAGACCCAGCTCAGCCCCTGGGAATGTGGCATGACGTCACAGAGCAGTCCCAGAGTTCCATTTTGCTGCGTCCGGGATAACCAGACTACTCTTGCGGTCAAGGCACCATGGCCTCACTGTGCCGTGAAATGCGATGCTGGGAAGATGACGGTTGGCCCAGGCAAACAAGAAAGAAGCGCTGCAGTCAGGAGTTCAAAAAACCGCAACCTTAAACAGGCAAATCATCACCGTATTAAGAGATCTGACCTGACGATGGAGGGAAAAAAGTTATCCTTAACTGGGAAATTAAAACTGTTAGATCACCATGATCAAGGAGTGACAGATTTTATCTATCTGTATCTCTCTTGCTACACGCATGTATATAAATGCACACCCAAACACACACACACATTTATCTGCTAAAGTCTCGTGAAAAGATTAAGCAGTCACGTCTGTGGGAAAACAAAGCTTGTTTTCTGGGGTTATAATCTCTCTGTTCTCGCTGAAGTGCTAACGTGTCATCAAAAATTCAAATTAAAGCTGTCTGATTTAGTGCGATCTCAAGCATCCAGGCAGTGATTCTGCCGCTGTAATTATGTGCAATTAAAGAGCTAAAATCAACTTCTGAGTAGTGGATTCCTGTTTATAAGCAGACACAAACAGATGATTTTAATGGCCTTCAGAACTTGAAAATAATAATAAAACAAATCATTCCGTGGTTGTAAATTGGACCCTCTGTGGAGCCCCCAGGCTTCTGTGATGCTATCTGCGCTTGAAGGAAATACTTAGCTGAAGTTACAATCCCAGCCAGGGATTCTCCCTGCAAATTCCGGGTGCCTTAGCTAATGAGCTGATTTGCACCCCCAGATGAGTAACCAAAAGCAAAAGTGATGTCTGCAAGAATGGGTGGCCAGACACACACAGGAGTCTGGCCCTAAGGGTCTGTTTTAAAACATGCTCTTCGGGGCGCCTGGGTGGCTCAGTGGGTTAAGCCGCTGCCTTCGGCTCAGGTCATGATCTCAGGGTCCTGGGATCGAGTCCCGCATCGGGCTCTCTGCTCAGCAGGGAGCCTGCTTCTCTCTCTCTCTCTCTCTCTCTCTCTCTCTGCCTGCCTCTCCGTCTACTTGTGATCTCTCTCTGTCAAATAAATAAATAAAAATCTTAAAAAAAAATAAATAAAACATGCTCTTCAAGACACAGGCGAGAGCTCGGTGGAGTACATGACAACCAAGTTCATAACTGCTCATTAAATCACCGTTAGTATCTTAAAAAGTCCCAATTGCAAGTACGGTAAGTCCACGAACACCGTGCAAGGGGGCCGCTGAGATGTGCCGTTCTGCCTCTTTGTGTTTGGGAAACAAGTAAACTCGGGATCAAAAGAAACCGAAACTCACCTTTGGTCTAGTAGAATGTGGTGGTAATGCTGAAGTTTCTGGGAGCCCTGTGCTCCCAGAAAGAACTACAAGAGGAGAAATCTCCCCGCTCCTGCCAGCCACGAAGGACCACCCTGCCTTCACCCTTTTCCATCTCTCCTCCTGACTTCCTTAAGACTGGCTGGCGACTTCCTTGCTTACCTGCCTCCATCACCTTGGCCCGATCCCTTTACTTGGACACATTCCTCATTAATAAACATTCCTCATATTGCAACAGCCTGAATAAAATAATCTTTTCTTTCTTTTTTTTTTTTTTTAAGTAGGTTCCATGCCCCCTGCATGGAGCCAAACATGGGGCTTGAACTCAAGATCCTGAGATCAAGACCTGAACTGAGATCAGGAGTTGGATGCTCAATGGACTGAGCCACCCATGCGCCCCTAAAATCATCTTCTTAATTGGCCGGTTCATTCCGTCTATCTGCCTGTGGTCAAAAGGTTTGGGTCTAACGGTGGTGAATGAAACCATTTGCTGTAAATCCAAAAGTTATACTGGAATTGAAGTGCTGGAGAGACAAAAATCTAACCTGGTGATTTCTTCCATTTCTAAAAGTGACCATGCCGCATGCAGATGCCCGGTTTATCACAACCACTGATTAAGTGAGAGACAACCAGCCAAACTATTGGAAAATGTAATTACAATCAGGTTTGGATACACAGAAAAGCTACCAGTGACAATTTAATAGAGAGGAGTTAAACAAGTTAACAAGTAATTAAATGTTTAAACAGATTTTTCTGGAGCAGTTTGGTGTTTATTAGCCCCCAAACAATACCACCTCTTATCCGTAGAGCCTTTTCTGAGAAATGAGATGCCTTCGAGTTTGCAACTGCTGGGATTTAGATGAAGGGGAAAAAAAAAAATCTAAAAGCACTATTTTGATTGTAACTGACATCCCTCCCCCCACGATCCACACCTGCTTTTTAGATTCCAAGTCCCACGATTTACTTGCTTTCTAAGCAAAATGTCAATTGCAAACTGCCCTCTGTGTTTCTTCTTAGAGCATGAACGGAAAAAACGAAAAAAAAAAACAAAACAAAAAAAAACCCCCAAACCTGAGAAGATTCTGAACAAGGACGCCCTGCTCTGGAATGTACCAGGAAATGCACAAAATAACAGGCATTATTAGAACCAGAGGAGAAAACCCATGTTTTTAAACAATTACTAAAGCAGTATAGTAATAGCATAAAGACAATTTCTGCGCCAGCTTGTTTCTTTTAAATTCTCTCTGCCACTGAGCAGCTAGAACAGATAATAACTATTAGTAAATCAAACTCCTCTGCAATATCCAGCTGTGCCTCACGCATTTACATACAGATAGAATGGGTATATGTTTTTAATATGTATGTGATCCGTACTTTTACCACAACCGAACTGCATGCCACAAAGGAGGAGGAGAATGGGAATCAGATCAGCATGAGATAATAAAGTGGCCTAGATAAAGTATTAGCCCGCGATTGATCTCAAACCGGGATGCTGCTTCTTCTGACCTGATTACTTACTATGCATAGATTCCATTAAATAGAGCTTAGACAGGGGAAGCTTCTGGAAATACTCTAAATGCATCGAAGGATCTACAGTGCTCTGAACCCAAACTGTAACTGCGGAGGTGCCCACGGCCCGTACCCTCCCTGCCTGAGTCAAGGCCCATGTTCAGGATAGGCTGGTAGGTTAAAGGGCCAGCAGCCAGCTGGTGGGCAGCCTTCCTGAGTGCCACGGGGAGGGTCTTTCCCGTCCCTCCACTGCGCCAGGCCAGCGCCCTCCGAGTGAACGCCTCCCTCCTGAGCTGCTCGTCTGGTTCTGGCTGCATTGCACTAACTAACAGAATGAAAAGGCAGAGAGGGAGCTTAACAATCATTCAGGGTCATGGTCCCGTTTGAAAAACTGATGACAGTCACGGATTTCTCTTTTCAGAAAAGAATGCAAATCCCCACACGCATACGTGACGTTGGATGTAATTTCAGGGGCTCTACCAGACTTCCTTAAGTCATGGACCTGAGGTCAAGGACTGGTGATCTCATGCATCCTCTCCGTTTTGCACATGAAGACACTAAAAGCTGGGAGGGAATGGGGAGCTACTGACAAGGGAAGGAAGTGTGGAGGCTTTCCTGTTAAAGCACAGCCGGACCACAGCTACCAGAGAACCCTACAGGAAGAAGACTCATTGGGCAGAAGAATTCTCTGTGGCTCACGTGAGCAAAGGTCTACCCAACAATGTTCTCACCGTACCCTCTATTCAAAAACATAACAATTTGAAGAGCAAAGCCAGATCTGAACCTCTCCATCTCAATATGCTCTCATCTCAAGCCATCTGTCTCTGAATTCAGGGGTCTGATTTTTATTTCTTTTGGTGTCCTTCAATCGGATTATTGACATTTTGGGAAAAGGTCTCCACCACCCTTGTTTCATCACCTTCGCCCTTTGTGCCGTGTCCTCGCCAATCCTTTCTGATGGCTGCAGCTGTCCCCCACTCCACAGAAGCCAAGACATCTCTGCCGCGTTATCCGAAGCCTGGTGAACATTCTGCTTCCATCTCCACAGGGCTTCTACAGCCTGGAAACTTTTTTCTAAGTTTGCGGGTCCTACATCACAGAGCTGGGGCGGCACTGACCTAGGTCTTCCCTGTGATTTGTACCAGCGTGCTGTAAAAGTGGGTTCTTTCACAACGGAATCATGTTCTTAGGAGCAGAGAGAGTGCATGTGGGGGTGTCAGCATGTGGGAAGTTCTTGGCCACCTGCGTGGCTGGCTCTCCTTTGTTGGGTTAATGCTGGCTCCTGATTCACGCAATGGCTCTCGAAGGACTGAAGGATGAAGGGCTTCCCTGTACCTGAATGGGAGTCCACTCACGAGAAAAGGTGTGGGTGGGTCGGTGTGTTGCTTCCATGTCAGGTCCATGTTTTCAGACTTGGACTAGGGTTTCTTCTCTAAGAAGAAAGGGTTTCTCCTATAAGAAGTGGAATTTTTTAACAGATCACCCAGCTGGTGGTGAATGCGTCGCCTATCTGAATTCCCCCGTTGTGGGTTTGGGACTCCACGAGGCCAATGTCAAAGGGATTTCTGTTCCAAAAGGCACTAGAGGTCTCACACTGCTCTGAAAAAGTCTGGAGCCTCTAATACATTCATGCTTGGCCCAGCCTGCTTCCTTTACCTGGAATGTCCCCTTGAAAACTTTCTATGAAGTTCAGTCCATCCTCCAAAGGCCCTTTTCCAATGCCACCTTCTCCGTGTAGCTTTCCCCATTTCCCCAGTGAACCCCCAGAGAACTCTGCAGTTCTGAGTTACTTTATTCCAGCAAGTTGCATACTTGCTGTGTCTCCTGCAAGACTGGATGGATGTGGCTTACTCTTCCTTGTATCTTCTGTTGAGTCAGGCACAGGATTTTGTACATCATGGTCTAATAATACCTGCTGAACTGAATTGTTTATCTGGCTCTGAGATCTCCCAAGATGATCTGGATGCCACTGATGGGACTTCTGAATGGGTTATTTATGGACCTTAACAGATACACGCCAGACACGTGTATCAGCTTACATGAACTCTGGACTCCCCAAAATGTGAGCGTTAAGGGAATTTCTTCGTCCAGCTTTAGCATACTTCCACTTAGACCATAAAAATTGATAACCGTCTCAGGAACAACCACACGAAGTAGAATTAAACAACCAAACACCTAGATGAGTCGTAACACCGGGATTCTTGTGGCTTCAAGAGTCTAAACTTTAGCTTTGAGACTGACATGGCCCAACACTGCAAAGATGATGGTTTGAAGACTGGGGTATTATGGATATAAGGTAACCGTGGCAGATAAAAAGTCAAACACTGCTCGTACGCCCACTGTGCACATGGCCCACCCCTCCCTGCAGTGTGGTTTACTCAGGCCGGGCTCGCTGTGCTTACCCGCGGTCTCTGGTGATGAGTCTGTAACTCTCAGTATTTCCACCCAGGCCCATCTCTGATTTTCTTCCTTTGGTTTGGATAGTCCTGCAGGCCTCACGGTTGATGCGGCCCAGGCTGTGCGGACCATGTCAGTGCCTTGCTGGCTGCTGCTACCGTGCTAGGGAGATAAACTGCTCTTTTTGTGAAAGGCAGGCCCCCACCACAGTCACAAATGTCCCCTCCAGTTCACGCATTCCAGAGCATGCTCTCAGCTTCCAGATGGGAGCACCATCAAACAGGTTGTAGACGGGGAGGGAAAAGGAAAAATTAAAGCCATTAATATGTTGGAAGAAATAAAGAAGCTGGTTCCTTAACCAGCTTCTGGTTCCCTAACCACATCCTGGGCTCCTAGGATGTGACTCAGGTTCCTCAAGCCAGGTACAACCTAATTTCTCTCTCATCCCCTATGTGGCTCAATACCGTGGTCAGAGGCAGGCAGGGCCCAACCCCCTTGACCACAGGAGCCTCACACACATTCCAAGCTTCCGGCTTCCTCACCAAGCCCTTTCTAAGCTGGGTGCCTCACGAGTGCTGTACCTGAGGGAATATGTTCATTTAAATCCCACTGGGAGCAGTCCTACAAATGTTAAATTAACTAGAGAACCGGGCTTCCTGTGACTACATTTTTCATTGTGTTTTACTGATTTATTGATATTTATTAATTAAAAATGTGGGACAGCACACACCAGGGTGTACAGTTATAAAGAGAGATATCGAGATATGTATCACTTGTCTCTCCATACACACACACACACATACACACACGCGCGCACGCGTGCACACACACTTTCTTCTCAGGCACTGAAAGTGTGCACCCTCTGGCCTTGTCTTTACAACTTGCTGCCCTGGAGCTGTGCTCCCCACCAAGACATACATCCATATGCATGGATGGGTGTACGTGCAATCTGCAGTGTTTTATTTAAAAGTGGCCAACTCACTGCCGCACAGAAACATGCATTTACAAACAAATATCTGTTTTATGAAACCCTATTCCTTTGTTTTAATAGCTGAGCTATCCAGCCATAGCATAATAATGCACAAGGTAAATGGGTCTCCACCTCTAGAACCTGTTCCAAGTTTTCTCAAATGTGACTAACTGCAACAATCTCCCAACCATCCAAGACACGCCACCGCCAGAAGACCAGTTTATTCCAGACACGAGACCTGCACAGTTATAAATTGCAGAGGTTTTTAGGGGTGAACTTTAACTTGAAACTACCCTGAAAATGGAGATTTGCTCCAGGGGTAACACGAGGGAGGATGCTACCTTCCTGGAAAGCGCTCATGATGCAAAAGGGAAACATCCTGTTATTTTCTATTCCAGGACGAAAGGTGTATTATACAAGAAGAAGTCTGGGCATGTAGGGTGTTTATCAGGATGGCATACAACGGATGAAACCCTCTGAACTGGTATCTGCAAAATGCTTCTTGTTTAAAGTGGTGACAGAAGACTGGTCGGGGTGCGCTCTGAGTGCAATGGTCTAAAGACGGAATGGTGAGCACACGAAACAGGAGAAAGAGCAGACTATAATCATTAGTTACTAATGCTCGATCCCAGCGTTCCTTCTAACAGCTTGTGTGTTGTCAAATCAACAATCTGCACTAAACAAATGACCATTTGGGAATTGCTAGGGAGCGTCTCTGTTCCTCTCCCTGCTCGACTAAAAACTGTCATTCACCATCAAAGAAAGCGGCCTTGGAGCTGCGAACACAGCACCCGCAGCTCATAGTTGTCTCTTTCTGAGGAAAGACCAAAGATTCACATTAACTTGATCTTTTGCAGCCAATCTAATTTCATTCTGCATGAATCCAAGAGGACTCCACGCCACGTTCAGAATCTCCTGCAGGACACCGCAAAAAACTGAATATGCTGACTCACTTTTCTGTTACCGATGCTCTGGGTGCTGAGAGGAGGTAACAAGAAAGGAGGAGAAGGAGTAACCCAGATTAACTGGTGGCCCTTGCGTGTAAGGCGGAGGAAGAGAGTTTTACCTTAAGTTTCTTCTTTTTTCTTTTCTACAGCGAGAGATGGAACCCAAGCAGGAGGAGTGGGAGAGGAGCCCAACACGGGGCTCGATCCCAGGACACTAGGATCACTACCTGAGCCGAAGGCAGACACTTAATGACTGAGCCACCCAGGTGCCCACTCCCTTATTATTACAAAATGGTGGTGGGTTTTTATTTTTATTTTTTTTTAAAGATTTTATTTACTTATTTGACAGAGATCACAAGCAGGCAGAGAGGCAGGCAGAGAGAGAGAGAGGAGGAAGCAGGCTCCCCGCCGAGCAGAAAGCCCTATTCAGGGCTCGATCCCAGGACTCTGGGATCATGACCTGAGCTGAAGGCAGAGGCTTTAACCCACTGAGCCACCCAGGCGCCCCTTATTTTTATTTTTTAAAAAGATTTTATTTATTTATTTGACAGACAAAAATCACAAGTAGGCAGAGAGGCAGGCAGAGAGAGAGGAGGAAGCAGGCTCCCTTCTGAGCAGAGAGACCCTGGGATCATGACCTGAGTTGAAAGCAGAGGCTTTAACCCACTGAGCCACCCAGGCACCCTGGTGGTGGGTTTTTAAAGAGTAAAAACTACTACCTGAGGATTTGAGCTTCCAAAACACCTACCCAAATGGAGTAAGTAATGCAGCCTCTCTAAGAGCTGTGGATGTTTTAAATTCCATTCCAGTTCTTTTAGCAGAAGGTTAAGCACAGATATATAACTAGAGAATGCTAACGTAATTAAAACAATGTACTTACCATCAGGTCCTCAGGTGCTGGTCTTTCTTTGGGTTGTTTACGCATGCTGTTAGAGGAAGAAAAGCTCGTCATTATCTAGATCACGCATGGATCTGTGCTATGCTTTCCACCATGGACTATTTACCCTGGAATCTGAATGACTTCAAATTCACCGTGTTCAATTCTTGGCCAAAGTATTAGCATATATTCCCTTTCTTTTATTTGGGCCTTTAATTAATCAGATTTTGGGGAATCTCATGAATCAGAAACATAAAGATTTTTTTGGGGGGGGTAGTTATTTTTGCACTACAGATGAAGAATGAATTTAAATTTACCTAATTCCACTTTTGAAATAATTGTGGGAGAAAAAAAGCGGCAATATTTCTTCCTGACTCAGTTTTCAGTTTATTTCAGACTTAAATCTAGGTAACAATAGACTTCTTTTTCCGTAACGGGAATCAGGTAATAAGAAAAAAAAAAACATGACTACCAGGTCAAATGAGAAAATATTTTATTCCTTCATTCTGACTCCGAATGACACGTCATAAAAGAAGTCAGGAATCTAGATAATGCTACAAAATTACAAACGGGCTGTTATACTAGTTCAACTTTTATTTATTCTGGCTACAATGCAGGTCGATATTCTTTAAACAGCTGAGGAGGGGGGAGTTAAGTCTGTTTAAGCTGCTTAAAGGATCACATTACTCATACAAAATGCTGCTTGTCTTACATGCAGTAAGTATCATCAGTAGCTGTGTCAGGTATGAAGGCTACGGGATGAAGCACTCACACGTGGGACTGATGTGACTACGAGCAGCTACCTATCCGGTGGCCGTTATCCATACCAAACTCAGAGAGTCTGTGGGATGAAGTCATGAAAAGAGACTGCTTCTTCTATTACTTGAAAATCACACAGATGCTTTTTCTTTTACACAAGGCAACCTCTAACGAGCGCCAGGAAAACCCGTCATATGATCCCTGCATTTGCTGACAGTATTTTCTTTTCTTTTTTTTTTTTTTTTGAGTAGAGAGACTTAATGATCATTTGGTAAATAAGAACCGTAGTTATGAACCATTAATGACATCAAGGACATTTGCCTTCCCTATAAATAACCATATGCACCTCTCAAATACTGCATTCATTAGCAAGTAATTCAAGCTGTCTTGCCGGTGGAGTTGGTAACAGTCCTAATCTGACATTCCAAAGTAGCTGTATCTCTTGGGAAAACAAGGCTATTACCCACTATCATTTCTGCTTCGGCTTGACATCTGTGGAAATTTCAACACAGGTTACCCCTCCCCCTGTCTCCATAAAACTTTTACATAGCAGCTGATTAATTTTTGGACAGAAGGAAGGCAAAGCCTTATCTGCTCCCCTCCCACTTCTGCCCAGAACTGGCCCCGCCCCCAAGGGGGTCTCAGGCCACACAGTGAGATGCACAGCCCTCCCGTCACAAATCCCACAGCGCCAGGCGGGTGATGCCCAAACCAGGGCTCTGGGCAGCTTAGGAACGGCATGGTTTATTTTTCAATTTCTGCAGTTCAAAATGTGGCATTCCCATGATGGGCTGCTTCTGAGTGTTTCTAGGAATTCCACGTAAAGGAAATTAAGAGAGATTAATACACATTTTTGGATAATGGGCTCTGATATCATCGATGAGCTCAGGATTCCAGTGTTCAGTGGATATATCTGTTTTTTCCAACATGGGGTGCTTTGGAAATGAAACATCTGCAGGGTAAAAATAGTTTTTAAAAGCTACAGAATATTAGATAAGTATTTTAAATAAATAGAAACAGTGTTAATAAAATTTTTAGAGTCAGGGGGAAAAAAAATCTCTTCCTCACATGTTTTTCTATGGAGTATAAACTGTATGAGACATTTTTATTAAGAGGTAACATATTACACTTAGTCAAAAAGGTGATAAAGCTTGACATTTATATTAAGGAATATTTCTTAGCTTCACTTTAGTGTAATCATCGGATGGATCATGGGGGGGGAGGGGCAGGGGACAGTGCACAAACGTTTTGGTTTGGCAAGGACTCCTGACCGCACCATTTCCAGGAGCCACAGGAAGGAAGGGTTCCGTTTTCCACCACCGAACATGACTCTAAAGGCGTGATGAAACGGAATTCAGTGGACTAGGGGAAGGCAGGTAGAGGTAGTTGTGAAGAAGTTCCGTAATGTCCCAAATAGTTTCTGGTTAGTTCTGCCTCCTGCTTTGTGGCGGTCATTGCTATGCTCCCAATTTCCTTCTCTTTCTCCATGCTAGGGAGAGGGAGAGAGCAGAAGGAGGGCAGTGGAACAATGGGGCCGTCCATAGCCTCCTGGGTGCTGCTGAATGGGGAAGAGGCAGGTGGATGATGTGAAAGGGGGACCCTCGTCCTACAGAGGGGGAAAAGGCAGAGGGCTGGCAAAGAAAAATGCGTGTTTCCTCAGGTGTAAAACGACACCGAGGGCCTCTTTGACCTGTGGTTCCTCCCAGTTCTTTAATGGTTCAAGTGGGCCAAATGGAACCATGTTTTCATAGTCTTTCAAACATCAAAATTCACTGAAATGGAACACGAGTATTGTGTTTAACATACAACCAAAGATAAAAGTTATTTACCGAAAACCCAATGAATTAATAAACTATGCTGCTTCCACTAAGTGACAGACAGTTTTATGGGTAACTTGAGGTTACATTAATAAAAATAAGCTTCATATGTCTGTTCAATAGGGACTATAAAATTGTGTATTTCTTAAAAAAAAGAAATTGGATAGCAACAGTATCTGTGCTCGAAGAAGGAGCCCGATTCACAGCAGTTTATTTAAACAGGAAAAAGCCTCTAAAGTACATTTACGACCCTTTGTGTAAATAACGTTTACATAATTTAAACAATTTCTTCAGCTTTTCTGCCCCATCTGCCCAAGGCCCCGAAGTCCCTCCCGTCTCCAGGAGGAAGCAGGGAGAGCCATAAGGTCTCGCGGAGCCTGGGAGTTAATGGCATGTATCATTTACATTGAGGGCATGGCATGTTTGCAAACGGGCTCACCACTGAGTGATGAAATGTACAAATGGCTCGGAGAACTCTCCAACCGGAAGGACGGGCGAATCCTGGGATGGAGGAAAAACAAGTCACCAAAAGTCACAACAATTCCTTTTCTTCCTTTCCATGCGCCACCCCCGCAACCCCTGCCCAGCTCCCCCAAGGAGCAGGATAAAGATGAATCTATAACAAGGATTCAGCACCATGTGGGAAGGAAAATAAGGCCTCATCCAATTAAAAAGACTGTCTACACCCTCTCCCACATGTTTACGTAAAAATGCCAAATTTAAAGCCACACACATTTTACAATGGTGAGAAACATGAGAGCAAAGAGGGAGGGGAGGTGAAAAAAGGACAATGATAGCCACGGGGTAGGAAAGAAGGTACGAAAGTGTAAATGAGAAATTAATGATTATTTAAGTAACACACAAATGGTCTTGTAATTAACAAAGAGCTGTGAAATTATTCTTGTGTTGACCTTTGTTTCTTTTACTGGATTTGCTATTTATTTACACTTTCCTTTTTATTTACATTTATTTGTATATTCAACTGCTCTTAACTGCTTGCTGAAGCATTTGGGTCAGGTTTTTTTGTTTGTTTTTGTTTTTTACTTTAATAGAAAGGCTTTTACAGGGGAAGCTGTGTCCTGAAAAGAATTTTAGTCTATTTGCCAGTCTGGGCAAACTCGTCATATGTATGAGAGAGGCTGTGAATTAAGCACCCAGTGAAAAACTCCCACCTTGACCACCAAACAGAACTGGGGCAGAGGTGGGAGCCACTTAAAAGAGCAGGAAACAACGAAGCCACAAATGACAACCACTGAGTAACACAGGGAGCAAACCCCATTACCATTTGCAAAGGAAGGCTTTAAGAATTTAGGAGTTTTTCCAAGAATGACAGAGAGCGCCACTGTGTTTATAGTGTAGTGGCTCAGGATGTAATGAAATTACACTGCAGAGTACTTTAACAGTCATCTCATTAGACCTACAGTTGGAACAAGAGAGCCACATAAAGTAGGCAGCTGCAAATGACTCCATTCCCATCTATTCTCATTTGCTATTAAAAATACCTTTCGGCGGCTTTTTTCCTCTCTGACATCCCTACACAAAGTGCCCTGCAAAGTATGATACATGCACCTATTTAAATTAACAAAGGAATGACTTATTTTAATCTCACTGTGCTTTGGAGTGCTTTGGCCATTTGGATGAGCAATATATCATTACATACAACCTTCCAGCGCTGCAGGCAAGAAACTCAGAGCATGCAGCATTTGGTGGGAGCCAAACAATTTCTCTAGCACACAACTGTGTCAAATGCATGCATGTATTCATTATTGAGAACGAGAGGAAATAGCTTTGATGTAGTGGAAAAAAGAAGATGATAAAAGCACCTCTGCAATATGCGTGTCATTATCAATGGTGGCAGATAGATACAATTGCACAGCCTCCTATGTGATTAGTAAATATACATATAATTGCTGTGGCCAATTATCAGAAAAATGAGATCGGTAATTACAAGACAGAAAATTAACTAGAACTCTTATTAAGGCTTTGTTTCCAATTCAAACAATTGGAAACTGCTGGAAAATACAATTAAATCAAAAGGATCTGAGGGGGTCAAAGCAGCCAAAAAAAAAATTAATAATAATAATAATAAATAAATCCCAAAGAGGTTAAAAGAAATGGAATGTGAATGAAATGATCCTTAGATTTTGCATTTCTGTCCTCTTTGAATTTACTCTATTCATCCAGATCAGGAGAAGGTTAGTAATCATAAACTTAAAATTCTCATCAGTAGAGAAAGGCTTCCAAGAAGAAAGGAAAACAAAGGAAAATGGGAGCGAAATAAAATCTTGCCAAGTTCAAAGGATTACATGCAGGCATTACACAGAGAGGACATGAAAAACAGGGGGCTGATGAAACCGTCCACTCAGAAGAAACAGGCGTGCAACAACATGACAAGTCTTCGATAAAGGTACTATAAAATGGCCACAGAAGTCCCATCGGTTTGAAGAGCAAAAATAAAACATGATATCAATTTCAGCCCGGCCTGTTTTAGGAAAGCCATATATATATATCACGGCGCCTGCAAGATCCTACAAGGCACAGTTCAAGAAATGACATTTCGCTGTCTCAGAAACGGTTAGTACAAAAACGGTTCAAAGTCTGAGGTGCAGAAACTACGGACCCCGATCAGGGAGTCAGTCCTCCAAGTCATCATTTCTGAAATTCTTCTGGAGGCTCTGGTCCTGGGAGTGTCTGAGTAGTAGTTGATTTTAAATGCGATGTTTAGGAAGATAAAAGCCTACTGCCTTAATGTGGCTGAATATTTACTAAGATGGTTAAAATTCTCAACTGGTTTTCTACAAAGATCCTGATATAAAACATGATGCTAATGTGGGCCTCATTTCAAAGTATGATACCAAGAGTAAATTAATGAATTATAGACTAGGCAACTTGAGGAAGATGTCATTTTAACATGGATGAGAAACAAAACGAGGCAATGTGACATCTTTGCATGGGTAGTTAATTTTATTTAAGACCTGATATTGTAGCCTGTTAAGTTCCTCATAATATAAAACTAAGGAACACTGGGTGGTACCCATGAATAATTTATTTCACTTGTGAAAATGCCACCCCAAGTCGACTTTACAGAACCGCAGAGAGCGGAGTCTCATCTCAGGGATGCCTGGAAAGAATCACTCATCAGAGATGTGGGGGGAAATTCTAATCTCACATGCATAATGCCAGATATTTCTTTTCCTTTTAAAAGCTGTGTCTCTTGCATACCTCCAAGGAGAATTTCCTGAGATACAGAAGACTGACTGGCGGGGGGTGGGGGGGGGGGGGGGGGGGGGGGCGTGTGGGGGGGGGGTGGTCAGAATGTCACACACAAACAAGGGGGGCAGAGGGGTGAGCAAAGGAGTCCTCTGAGAGTCTCCTACTCCACACAAGCACACAGGCTTATGTTAACACTCTAGAGGAAAGCAAATGAAGAGACCTGATGGTGTTCACCACACTGGGAGGATTTTTAGAGTATACTTTTCTCATTTTTATGCAAGTAAAACCAGAAGTTTGTTTGGAAGAGCATGGCAGAACACCTCCACGAAACTGTCTGTTTCATGCTGGAATTCAAATCTGCGCCAAGGAGGGAGGGAGGGAGGGAGGGAGGGAGGATCAGAGTGGAGCTGTCCCAGTTTCCCCGTAGCTCCCAGGCAGGGGCAGCAACCAGTCACCACTGGGTTAGAAAGAGCCTGAGAACCCTGCCCAGAGGTTCAGGGATCTAGTCAAGTCCTTGCTACTACGCATCAAAAACGTGCTCTGCGAAACCTGGGTTCAGGAAAGATGAACAAATACATTTCAAAAACACAAACAGGAGCTGGAGAAGCAGTTACAGTAACAACTCTCAGGACTGGCTGAAACCAACTCTTAATGGTTAATAAAAATCACTCTTCTTAAGACCCCGGGTGCTATACTTCACCTTAAGGGCTTTTCTGGGGGATACTTTTCTGTTGAACTTCTAAGCACAGAGGTATGGAATGAAACAGTGGATACAACCTTACCCAGAAGCCTTAACCTGAGATTCTATTCCCTTATCAACTCTAGAGTCCTGCTACAGGGACACAAGCTGGATCTTGTTATGGAGCCAGCAACTGTTATGTAAAAACAGCGGCCATCAACCATTTCAGTAAGCAATTCTGGTCCTCAAGGAGGACAGTCTCCAAGTCTCAGAGGTTTCAGTAACTACCTGGTCAGCCCCTTGTGCTAAACAACTAGAACACAAGCACGTGTCATGCTAGGGAACAGCGAAGGACAATGGGAAAAAAGTTTGAGTGATGCCTTTGCCTTGTGAGTAATGAACAGTTCAGGAAGGTCAACCCATTACAACTGAAACTGTTTAATTATTAATTATGCACAATCTATGAGCAAAAGGACAAGTTCAGAATGTTTAATGTATGCTAACTTCAACTGGACTCTCTCTGGGTATTTTGTTATTAGCACTTGTCAGCAAGGTACTCAGGCATAAAAGGCAAGCAGGAGAAAATTTGTGTGTGTGTGTGTGTGTGTGTGTGTGTGTGTGTGTGTACCTACACACTCAAAGAGTAGAGGAGGGGAGGAGGGGGAAGGAGGGCTGACTCCAATCATTGGGGCTGCTAGTTCACTTGCAGATTAACTATGCCTGTAAGTACACTTTGTGACCTTGGGAGCAGGCAGATAGGTTGGGTACTCCAAATACAGAAAATAGAGATGAGGCAAATGCTTTCAAAATCACTTACTTAAAAGAGAGATCATTATCGAAAGCATAGTTTTGTTTTGTTTGTTTTAAACTATGTTTCTTGGCTCCGGAAAGATCCAGGACAATGTTTGTGCATGTATGCCTGCCCACATGTGTGTGCACATGCGTGAGTGCCTGGAAAATGGGTAGAATCTGAATTCGGTGAATTGTATCAATGTCAATTTCCTGGTTGTGAAACTGTACTATACTTATAAGCTATTAACACTGGGGGAAACTGAGTGAACGGTAAACAGGCTCTCTCCTTCTTATCATTTTTAAAAAAATTATTATTATTATTATTTTAGAGAGGGGGAGGGAAGGGACAGAGAGAGTAGGAAAGAATCTTAAGCAAGCCTGATGTGGGACTTGATCTCATGATCCTGAGATCATGACCTGAGCCAAAATTAAGAGTCGGACATGTAACAGACTGAGCCACCCAGGTGCCCCTCTCCATACTATTTCTTACAACTGCATATGAATCTCAAATGATGTTGAAATAGAATATTTAAAAAGAAAAAGGTAAGGAACTATTTTAAAAAACTCTGATGAGGTCCAGATTTGTGGCGGAGCTCAGTTTTGTATAAGTGGAAAGGCTGGCATAACTACTCAATGGAAAAAAGTTTAGGGAACTCAGCTTGAAAAAATATACCTGCATATTTAATTTCTGCCTTTAATTCATAATTATAGATAATAATGAAACCTGAGAAGGATATGGTAGTTAATTCAAACATTGACAGGGCATAGACATAAAATACTATGTAATAAAAATGGATAGTCATTCATTATTTATTGG